TTGTTTTGTTATTCGTTTGTTGTCAGACTACGTTTTGTTGTTTCGACTTTTAACCCTTTGGAGCCGTTTTTTAATGTTTTTCGGAACTTTATAAATGTGTTATTTTCGTGGATATCTTATATTCTTGACCCGGTTGTCATTGATAGTATCCTCGTCTGAGTTTGGGGGAAATTCTGAAATTCTGTCAGTCTGCTCGCGGTTCTGTTCTTTTGGTTCAATTGGCAGGCCTTTATTTTTGTTGAAGTAATATTTGATTTCAAAGAAGTTGCAACTAACCGTGTAGCGCAGTGGTCTTGAGCGTAATCTTCCGCGCACAAAGTCCAGGGTTCGAACCTTGAGACCTGGGACCTTTATTTTTTTTCAGCCCTGTTGTCTCCCAAAATGCGCGGGCCATCAGGCCCGATTTCATCCCGCGTGCGGCCCATTTCAGACAGAAACTTCAGCCCGCGTCCGGCCTTCCTTCAGCCCGCGTGTGCTCAGCCCATATGAGCGTTGGGCCAGACCTATGTTTAGGCCCAATTTCTTTTAATGCAGCCCAGAAATTTTAATTGGCACCCCAAGTTGACTTTTAAGCCTATTTTGAGTTCCGGAAGCCCGTTTTATTACCGAGTTTGATTTTAAAAATTATTTTCAAAGTAGAAAAAATTGAGAAATTTATTTTAAAGTTCGAGACTCCAAATCAATTTTTTCGTGTCATATTTTTCAAAACTTAGAGAGTTCTAAATCCACGAAAAATTCGATTAAAACCCGTAAATCTTAATATTTATTAAGTATGGGTGTTATGTTAAACTCTAGTAGTGAGATAAATTATTGATAAATTATCTCGCTTAAATGTAGGTGTTTGAGGAGTCGAGCCTCATCCTACGTGCTTGCTTTTGTGTGCCATTTTCTACCGAAATTTCCAGGTGGGTTGTAATTGTAAAATTTACTATGCCTTCATTAATTGTTTTTGTTGTAGTATGATCAATGTATGCATGTGAACCATGTAGCCTTCGATGTGAGCTATATTGGCCGTCGAACAGTTATCCCCGTAGCTATAGAACGTACCTTTGGGTAGTCTCCTTTATTATTGTTGACAGTCAGGGCGTGAGCCTTGGTTGGTGATCCTCGTATGTAAGGCCAAGGCGTGAGTTTTGGCATTCGGGGTGGATTATTGCTCCTGCTGGTCGGGCACTCGTTGTAAGGCCTTCGAGGAAGGCGTTCGATATATAGCTCAGCAGTAGTCTATTGTTATAGGTGTGCACATGAGACCATTATTGATTATTGATAGGAGATGGGACGGTTATTGATTCATATACATGCTGCGACCATACTTAAATTGTTTTCCTGAGTATTGATATTAATTATTGCATAGCGGTGAGCACCTCGATTTTTCCATTGTGCTCATCCCCACCTGCTCTTCATGGATGCAGGTTAGTTTATGCGGCACGGCGGAAGGGATGCGAGTGGTGGTCTTTAATTTGAATATATGCTTCTGTTTTGAACAGTGTTAGCCTAAACGCTAAACGGTAAACAGTCGGCGAGGGCACGTGTAGTGTTTAGACGGTGTACACGGCGTGTACACGGGATTAAACGGATTACACGTTTTTAACTACATTAGTATTAATATTATGACTTATGAGTCAATGACATAGCCATAGCCCATACGCAAATTGCAGATAACATCACAACAGTCAACATCACAGGTGTTCATCTTACAACACAACAGTTAGTAACACACTGCACGCATATATAGTTCTCACAAAACGGATCAATTTTTTGTTCTCCCGCCCAACCGCTTCTATTTCCAAAACGGACCGTGTAAACGGCCTAAACGGCTGTTTAGGCCGTTTAATACCGTTTAATACCGTCCCGTTTACACATTTTACACGGTTTTTTTCCGTCTACACGGCTAGCCCGTTTAATTACCGTTTATCCGCTAAACTGCACACCATAGCGCCGTTTACCGTTTAAACAGCGTGTAAACGGTCTAAACGGCCGTTTAGGCGAACACTGGTTTTGAATTGAACTTGGATATTATTGCATCATTATTGATTATTGTTTTTCACTAGTACCGGATTATTGGATTATTGATGGGATTATTATTGAATTTGCATTATTGAAATTTTAATATGGATTATGAGTATTGATCATTGTTGAATATTGAGAATGTGTTGAGTATTGATTAATGTCTTAAAAATGAGTAACGCCACAAATATTGTTTTAGAAAATAAATTTCAAAAAATTTATCCCGATTTTCGGTAAATAAAAGTGGGGCGTTACAGTTTGGTATCAGAGCCAGGTTGCGTTTCTGTAGACTGGTTTAAATATAAAAAGTCGATTATGTGATTATGTGTTAAAACCACTCGCTCTCGTTGTGCCGCGCCAGCTCAGGTATGAGTAGCTGAATAACTTTGAAATTATTGCATATTGTTTGGTTATTGATTATTGGAATGAAATCAGGGTTAAGACTGATCCACCTTTAAATTCGAACCCTAGTGTTGAACTCTAGACTTCTTTTATTATTGTGCTAAACTGTTCGACCCATTTTCAGTGTAGAACTATGGCTCGTCGTAATGCTCGCAACCGTCAGTCTACTCCGTCTCCACCTCCGTCCCCATCCCCATCTCTACCTCACCGGCAGGCTCCCAATCCGGCTGGGACTCATCTCAACATTGTGATTAAGTTTTGCCAGTTGACCCCGCCGATTTTCACTGGGGTCGAAGGGCCCGAAGCCGTGGCAGAGTCGATCCGTCAGTTAGAGCAGAATTTTGATTTGCTGCAGTGCACCGATGCCCAGAAGGTCATCTGTGGCCGCTATATGCTGAAGGGCGATGCCGCCCTATAGTGGTCCGTCTATTGGAGGTTGAGGCAGGCGGAATTTAATGCCCTGACTTGGGATCGTATGAAGGAGGTGATCATGGAGAAGTATTATCCTCAGAGTTATCGCATGAGGATGGAGCGCGCTTTCTGGGATCTTACTCAAGGGACTGGTACAGTTGAGGAGTACGAGCGGGAGTTCACCCGCATGAGTGCCTTTCCTCCACATATGGTGGACACTGACCTGAAGAAGGACCACAAGTTCCAAGATGGACTGAACCGAACTCTCCGTATGCATGTTGCTAGCCAGGGAAATCTTTCATTTGATGAGACCGTTATCCGAGCCGTCCAGCTTGGGAGTTATCAGACTCACGATGCTTCCGTCCCTTCTGCGCAGCTAGTTCAACCTATTTTCTCTGCACCACCCGGCTCTAGTTCGGTAAGAGAAAGTTTGATTCCCGCAGGGATAACCGGAAGGGAAAGCGTGGGGCACCAGACCGCCGTGACGTTCCACCAGCTGCCCATGGTCAGAACCCGAAATGCCATAAGTGTGGCCGCTATCATCATGGAGATTGTCGTTTCAATCAGAAGGTCTGCTTCAACTGCATGAAGCCCGGTCACTTCTTCAGCCACTGCCCCGAACCCCCGAGGCAGCAGCCTTATCAGCAGCCCCATCAGCAGCAGCAGCTTCCTCCTCCACCTTACCAGTAGCAGCAGCAGCACAGGCAGCCCCCACCACACCAACAGAGGGCTGGGGGTCAGGCCCGAGTCTATACCCTTGCTCATGACGAGGCAGCCAACAATGCAGGTACCATGTCTGGCATGATTTCTTTATCCAATGTGTCTATCTTTGCGTTATGTGACACTGTAGCTACTCATTCCTTTATCTCCTCTCGATGCTTGGATGCCCTGTCTATTGATATTGTGTGCAACTGTGACCCTCTCGAGGTTAGTCTAGCCTCGGGAAAGATCATTATTTCCGATTCTATGATTTCCAGTCTTCCAGTCAGTATTGGTGGGCGTGTTTTGGAGGCCGATTGCTATGTTATTGAAATGCGGGACTTCGATGTGATCTTGGGCATGGACTGGCTCACTTGCTATCGAGCCGATATCCGGTGCCAGGAGCGCGAAGTCAGTCTCTTCCTTGTTTCTGATCAGCCTGTTATTTTCTATGGGGTGAAGTCGAGGACTGTGCCTCGAGTCATCTCTTCGATGCAAGCTAGGAAGAGTCTTTCTAAGGGTAGCTGTCAAGGCTATCTGGTTTCTATGATATCCGAGGACGATTCTGAGAGGTCCCCGGAGAGAGTCTCTATTGTCTGCGAGTATCTCGATGTCTTTCCTGATGAATTGCCCGGAGGACCGCCCGACCGCCAAGTGGAGTTTACCATTCATCTAGTACCAGGAGTCGGCCCTATTTCTAAGGCCCCTTATCGTATGGCGCCGAAAGAGCTTCAAGATCTCAAGGCCCAGATCCAGGAGTTGCTCAATCTTGGTTTCATTCGTCCGAGTGTTACTGCCGTGGGGAGCGCACGTCTTATTCGTGAAGAAGAAAGATGGATCGATGTGCATGTGTATTAACTATGGGGAGTTGAATGCCCTTACGGTCAAGAACAAGTATCCCCTACCTCGCATTGAGGATCTCTTCGACCAGTTGAGAGGAGCCAGCGTCTTTTATAAGATCAACTTGCGTTCTGGCTATCATCAGCTGAAGATCCGGGAGTCGGATATTTCTAAGACTGCCTTCCGTACCCGTTATGGCCACTATGAGTTCGTAGTCATGCCGTGCGGACTCAGCAATGCCCCGGCCGTTTTTATGGACCTTATGAATAGGGTCTTTTATCCCTTCCTGGACCAGTTTGTTATCGTGTTCATCGACGACATCTTGGTTTATTCTCGGAGCATCGACTAGCACAAGGAGCATCTGAGGATTGTGCTGGAGACTCTTCGCCGCGAGAAGCTGTATGCTAAGTTCTCGAAGTGCGAGTTTTTGCGGATCGTGTGGCATTTCTTGGCCACATTGTGACAGCGAGAGGCATTGAGGTGGATCCCAGCAAGATCGAGGCAGTGAGCAAGTGGGATACGCCAAGAAGTGCCGCTGATGTTCGTAGTTTTCTGGGGTTAGCAGGATACTACCGGAGGTTTATCGAGGGTTTCTCTAAGATAGCCTAGCCACTAACCAACCATACGAAGAAGGCCGTGAGGTTCGATTGGAATCAGAAGTGTGAGGAGAGTTTCCAGGAGTTGAAGAGGAGACTCACTACTGCGCCCGTTCTATCCATTCCCGACCCTACTTTGGAGTTCACCATCTATAGTGATGCTTCAAAGATGGGTTTGGGATATGTCCTTATGCAGCAGGGGAGGGTCGTAGCCTATGCTTCGAGGCAGCTGAAGCCTCACGAGCAGAACTACCCCACCCACGATCTTGAGTTAGCTGCAGTCGTTCACGCCTTGAAGATTTGGCGACACTACCTCTATGGAGGCAAGTGTGAGATATTTACTGACCACAAGAGCCTAAAGTACATTTTCACTCAGAAGGAGTTGAATATCCGGCAGCGTAGGTGGTTGGAACTGGTCAAGGACTACGATTGCACGATTAGCTACCATCCGGGGAAAGCTAACGTGGTAGCCGATGCCCTTAGTCGGAGGAGTTATGGCCAGTTATCCTGTCTTTTTACCTAGCAAGATGTCCTTCTTCGGGAGTTCGAACGACTACAACTAGAGCAGTATAGCCACCTTCGACAGCCAGGGGTATGTTGACCTCTTTGGTTGTGGGACCGACTCTTCGTGAGAGGATAGTTGTCGAGCAACCGAATGATCGTTTCTTTTGCCGGATGAAGGAGTTGTCGGAAGCCGGTAGAGTTAGAGGATTCGCAGTCGCATCTGATGGGGCTTTGGTCTTCGAGGGTAGAGTTTGTGTTCCGAAGGTGTGGGAATTGCGATGGGAAATTTTGAGAGAGGCCTATAGTGCTCCGTACACCGTCCATCCTGGTAGTTTGAAAATTTATCAGGACTTGAGGAAGTCTTTCTGGTGGCAAGGTATGAAGTGGCAAGTGGCAAGGTTCGTGAATGGGTGTCTTGTATGTCAGCAAGTGAAGGCTGAGCATCAGAAGCCAAAAGGGAAGTTGCAGCCACTCGAGGTTCCCTTGTGGAAGTGGGAGTGCATCACCATGGATTTCTTGGTGGGATTGCCGAGGTCGAGGATCGGGCATGATTCCATTTGGGTGATTGTGGATCACCTTACGAAGTCTGCCCACTTTCTGTCGGTCCGGACGACTATGAAGGCTAGTCAGTATGCCGAGTTGTTCGTGGACGAGATTGTCAAACTTCATGGAGTTCCCGTGGAGATCGTGTCTGATCGAGACGTGAAATTCACTTGCCAGTTCTGGAAGACCCTGCACCGAGCCATGGGGACGAGGCTGGAGTTCAGTACAGCTTTTCATCCTCAGACAGATGGTCAGTCGGAGCAGACGATCCAGTACTTGGAGGACATATTGAGGGCTGTGGTATTGGACCGTAGCCTAACCTGGGAGAATGCCTTGCCTTTGGTCGAGCTGACTTACAACAATAGCTACCACTCCATGATCAAGATGGTCCCATTCGAGGCTTTGTATGGACGTAAGGTCCGAACACCCTTGTACTGGGATGAGGTCGGGGAGAGGACGATCATGGGTCCGGAGTTCATTCTTAGAGCTGCGGAGACAGTTGAGGCTATCCGGAAGCATATCCGGTCAGCCCAAGAGAGGCAGAAAGTCTATGTCGACCGAAAGAGGGATGAGCACGAGTATGCCGTCGGAGATCACGTCTTCCTGAAGGTATCGCCCATGAAGGTTGTGATTCGCTTCGGGAAGAAGGGGAAGCTTAAACCGCGTTATATTGGGCCATTCGAGATCCTTGCCCGAGTCAGGAACTTGGCTTATCGGCTGGCTTTACCACCTAGCTTGTCGGGCGTACATGACGTGTTTCATGTCTCGATGTTACGGAGATACGTGCATGATCCCGGTCACGTGGTGGACTGCGGCGAACTGCAGGTCGAGCGAGACCTTACCTACGAGGAGGTATCGGTAGCTATTTTGGACCAGAAGGTCCATCAGTTGAGGAACCGGACAGTGAGCTTGGTGAAGGTGCTTTGGAGCCGACATGACGAGTCGGAGGCGACTTGGGAAAAGGAGGCCGAACTTCGAAGGCGATATCCGAACATTGAGTTTTGAGTTCCCCTTGTATTTTATTTGCTTTCTCGATTTTTATTTTCGAATTCCGAGGACGGAATTTTTTGTAAGGTGGATAGACTGTAATACCCCGTTTCATTTTGAATTATTGGAGAATAATTATTGATTATTGCTATTATTAAATTGCCTTTATTATTACTATTAGTATTATTACTATTACTATTATTATTATTATTATTATTATTATTATTATTATTATATTGTTATTATTATTATTTTAATGCCTAAATTGTCAAATTGCTATTATTTGTTGTTATTAGTATTTATGTATATTAATTTTTTAATTAATTATTATGTGATATATATATATATGATCCAATTTATTTGTATTTGTTTATCGTCGTCTATCGAATCGATCGAAATTCTTGTTATCACGTTGTACTTATTTAGCCCGATTAAATGGTTTCCGGCCCAATTGTATTTTAAATCCTTTGCCTTTTTTATGTATTCCCTTTGGCCCAACCTAATTGTTTTATGTTGAACCCAATGTCTTGTTTTATTCTCAGCCAAAGCATTATTATTTTGGCCCAATTGAAAGAAAATGACCCGTTGCCTTTACATTTATTGATGTCTAGCTAAATTACCTTAATTATGTTAGCCCAACTCTTATTTTTAGGCCCAACTCCTTAATCACTCCAGCAGTAATAAGGGAGCAGATATTTTGTTTTCTTTCCCCTGCGACCAGGTCCTCATCCTCAGCAGCTTGAATTGTAGTTGCGATTTTCATGTGAGATTTCACCCACATCTTAACTCCATCTCTCAATTATATTTAGAGTCAAGCGAGATAATATTCTCATCTTCCTAACCGTACATAAGAAAATATATTGATACCCAACTCTGTTCTTCTTCACTGCAAGAATTTTCGTCCACCATTGTTGCCGGCAGACATCCTCGCCGGCATCTCCTCGGGGCAGCCTTTCCAGTCCGTCCTCGCATTTGCATCAGTCGCCTAGCCGCGAACTATTATTATTTCTGCAGTTTCCATCGTCCAGCAGCCCACCCGCCATTAACTCCGGCGAGACCACCTCCGCACAGCTCCACCGTCGCCGACCCTCAACAGTCCAATTCACGAGTTGTTCTTCGAGCTTCTGTCTGAGATTTTAAGGAACCTCGAGGTTTTGGATCTGCTCGTTTGAGTTCCGTTCGTTTGGTGCTTTTATTCCCCAAGCTCATCAAATTCCCGAAGTAAGGTAATCGGAGAACCCTCTAGTTTATTGACGTTCAGAATACTATTATTTGGTTTCTTATCGCTCGCGTTGAATCGTTTCGTTAGGTTTCGAATTCGGTTTATGTGTTAATTTGTATGTTCGTATATATGTTTCGTATATTCGTGGATTTTCGGGAATGATTGGAACTCTCGATTTTATAAACGTGAATACCATTACGCAGCAGTGACAAATTTATATTAGTTCGGAGTCCCGTTCTATCGTTTCGAGCCTTGTCGTCGTCGTTTTGTTATTCGTTTGTTGTCAAACTACGTTTTGTTGTTTCGACTTTTAACCCTTTGGAGCCGGTTTTTAATGTTTTTCAGAACTTTGTAAATGTGTTATTTTCGTGGACATCTTATATTCTTGACCCGGTTGTCGTTGGTAGTATCCTCATCTGAGTTTGGGGGAAATTTTGAAATTCTGTCAGTCTGCTCGCGGTTCTGTTCTTTTGGTTCAATTGGCAGGCCTTTATTTTTGTTGAAGTAATATTTGATTTCAAAGAAGTTGCAACTAACCGTGTAGCGCAGTGGTCTTGAGCGTAATCTTCCGCGCACAAAGTCCAGGGTTCGAACCTTGAGACCTGGGACCTTTATTTTTTTTCAGCCCTGTTGTCTCCCAAAATGCGCGGGCCATCAGGCCCGATTTCATCCCGCGTGCGGCCCATTTCAGACAGAAACTTCAGCCCGCGTCCGGCCTTCCTTCAGCCCGCGTGTGCTCAGCCCATATGAGCGTTGGGCCAGACCTATGTTTAGGCCCAATTTCTTTTAATGCAGCCCAGAAATTTTAATTGGCACCCCAAGTTGACTTTTAAGCCTATTTTGAGTTCCAGAAGCCCGTTTTAATACCGAGTTTGATTTTAAAAATTATTTTCAAAGTAGAAAAATTTGAGAACTTTATTTTAAAGTTCGAGACTCCAAATCAATTTTTCCGTGTCATATTTTTCAAAAATTAGAGAGTTCCAAATCCACAAAAAATTCGATTAAAACCCGTAAATCTTAATATTTATTAAGTATGGGTTTTATGTTAAACTCTAGTAGTGAGATAAATTATTGATAAATTATCTCGCTTAAATGTAGGTGTTCGAGGAGTCGAGCCTCATCCTACGTGCTTGCTTTTGTGTGCCATTTTCTACCGAAATTTCCAGGTGGGTTGTAATTGTAAAATTTACTATGCCTTAATTAATTGTTTTTGTTGTAGTATGATCAATGTATGCATGTGAATCATGTAGCCTTCGATGTGAGCTATATTGGCTGTTGAACGGTTATCCCCGTAGCTATAGAACGTACCTTCAGGTAGTCTCCTTTATTATTGTTGACAGTCATGGCGTGAGCCTTGGTTGGTGATCCTCGTATGTAAGGCCAAGGCGTGAGTTTTGGCATTCGGGGTGGATTATTGCTCCTGCTGGCCGGGCACTCGTTGTAAGGCCTTCGAGAAAGGCGTTCGGTATATAGCTCGGCAGTAGTCTATTGTTATAGGTGTGCACATGAGACCATTATTGATTATTGATAGGAGATGGGACGGTTATTGATTCGTATACATGCTGCGACCATACTTAAATTGTTTTCCTGAGTATTGATATTAATTATTGAATAGCGGTGAGCACCTCGATTTTCCCATTGTGCTCATCCCCACCTGCTCTTCATGGATGCAGGTTAGTTTATGCGGCACGGCGGAAGGGATGCGAGTGGTGGTCTTTAATTTGAATAAATGCTTCCGTTTTGAATTGAACTTGGATATTATTGCATCATTATTGATTATTGTTTTTCACTAGTACCGGATTATTGGATTATTGATGGGATTATTATTGAATTTGCATTATTGAAATTTTAATATGGATTATGAGTATTGATCATTGTTGAATATTGAGAATGTGTTGAGTATTGATTAATGTCTTAAAAATGAGTAACGCCACAAATATTGTTTTTGAAAATAAATTTCAAAAAATTTATCCCAATTTTCGGTAAATAAAAGTGGGGCGTTACAATTATTGTGCAAGAAGGAAACTAAATATACTAGAGTCCTAATTAACTAGATTGTCTTGATCTTGCTTGGCTTGCACTCCAAACAATTCCAAATTCACACGCCCCAAGTATTTCGGCCGCCTCAACGCATCGCCTCACCAATGCGCGCGCGTTTACAAGCCCTAGTCCTCGGCGGACTCGGCGTCCCGCGCACACCCCGCACACGCACCCGCTCTCGCGCGCGCTCCTTCCGTGTCGCCTGTTGTGTAA